GGGCAGGTGTCAGCTCTTTCCCGCAGCCTTGCTGCAGAGGCCGGGTGTCTGGGGCAGCCAGGCTTCGAGCTTCACCAGCCCCAGCTCTGTCCTGAACATCACAGAGAGCGCGTCGGCCTCTCCGCTCCCGCTCCGCGCGAGGAAGCCTTCTGTGTTTGCTGCCACCCAAAGCAATCGCTGCCCCAGGGCAGCAGCTAGCCCAGCTTTCCTGGGGGCTTTCTGGAGCAGTGGCATAGCCGGTTGCCCCTACTTAGAGCTGGAGAGTCTGTCACGTGTACTTTGGCAGGGAAAACAGCCTTTTGCTTCCTTCCATCATCTGTATCCCTTCCTCAGGACTGCGCAGGGCTGTCCAAGGCAAGGTTGGGGCTGGGGAGGTCTGGAGCCTTAGCATTTGGGAGGGCGAGCAGAGACCTCTCCCTGGGCGCCTCCTCGTTGGATGGAGCAGCCCTGAGCTGCGCACTTGGATCCCGTCTCTCCTGACCAAGCGTGTTGGCAGCGAGCAGGAGAAATGGGTTCTCAGAGTTATGAGGGACGGGGCTGCCGGGGAGGAAAGGCAGTGCTGCTCCCAAGGTAGGTCCGCCACTCCGCTCCAGGGCCAGGTGAAGCCAAAGGGAGAATGCCTGTACACAGAGCTGAACCGTGCACCACGCTCCTCGCACTCAGTTTTGCTGCTGGGTCTGTGCAGCCCAGATCCAACTTTTCTCCTCTGTGTTTCCAGCTGTAAACTGCAGGGCAGAGTGGGGAATATTTTTCTGCTTGGAGCCAAATAGTTTTCTCGGATCCTTGCAGGGGCGTGCAGAGGATGCAGGCTGATGTTATAGCTCCTGGAGATGAACTGCCTCCTTTGGTTGCACCTTGGAGAGTAATGGAAGAGGTGCAGGGCAAGCTGTATGGGCCATGTAAACATGCTCCAGCACATTTTACATTTCTCCTTCATGGGAGGACCACTATGGCTCACCCGTGGTGACCCAGGAGCTGCCCTTAACCTCAAGGTGGCTTGGAGGAAGGAACCAGGAGGCACCAGGTGTCTCTGCGGAAGGATTCCACCTCCAGATTCCGTTGGGGAGGTGGGGACCTGGAAATCCTTGGATGAATCCAAACAGCTCACCTCTATGGTGCTGGAGAAAAGCAGGAAGAACAATCTGTATCTGAAAAAGCCGTATCTGCTCTCGTGGAGGCAGTGTGTTTCACAGTCTTCCCCATCCCATTGCAGTCCTGTCCTCATCCTGTTAGGGGCCCTGGAAGTCTCCAGTCCCCACCGCTGTGGCCTTCAGCCGCTGGGCAGGAGGAAGAGCAGGGAAGTCGGTGAGCTCCGCTTGCGCAGAGCGGGAGGTGTTGGGCTCACCGCAGCGCTGGAGGAGCTGCAGAAGGGCACGAACCCTCGCGCTCAGCCTGGAGGGGTGCAGCCTGCAGGCGGGTGCGCCGATTCGCCCCGAGGGATGTCGTGGTGAGCAGGTGGGCAGCAGAGGCGGGATGGAGGCACCATGTGTAGCCTCAGACCAGAAAAGTTCAGGTCCCCTGCGACATCCAGGCTGAGAGCTGTGTGTTCCTCACACCTGCTCTAAACATAGTCCTTTTGGATGATATTAGTAATTTATATATATATAAATGGAGTCTAATTTTATTACATTTATCTCTCTTAATTGTCAGCTGTGAACTATTTCCCAGCGGATACATAGCAGCAGAAAAACCCTGCCAGTATGTGTCAAATGCAGTAGAAAATAGAGGAGGAGAAGCTCTGATACTGCATGCTCTCCCAGCTTTGACAAGAGGGGACACATCCAACTTTCAGATGGGACTGCTCCTCGCTGCTCCCTGTAGCCCTCTCCGTCCCCCTGCTTGATGTTCATCTTACTGGAGCCAACCCATACCCCAGAGAAGCAGGCTGAGAAGGGAGAGTAGAAACTAGGCTGGCGAGGGAGACGGGGCTTGCCAAGTCCCCGGCAGCCCCGGCTGTTAGAGGGTGCTGCCCTTGTTAGACGCTGTGATTGCTTTCTTAATTTGAGGTGCTGCAGAACATGAAAATTGGAGGTTAGACGTTGATGGGAGACATGAGGTTATTGCAGAGGACAGGGAGCTGCCCCGGACAGAAATGCCATGGGTGCTGAGTCACCGTACACATCCTGCGGGTGGGTGGACGCGGGAGAGGCTGGAGTGCATTTCAGAGAGGGTTAACAGTGCAGCGAGGGCTCCTGCGCCTCGTTGCCTTCCCCGGAGTCTGCATTTTTATGCTGATTGGAAGCCTGCGCTGTGTGTGCTGCTGAAATTGAATGTCAGGCTTTTGATTTTGTTGCTGGTCTCTAATGAAATTTGACATTTAATGGTGAGTGCAGCGGCAGCGTGTGTGTGTGTGATCGGAGCTTGATTAGCGCGCTCTAATTGACAGTAATTAGGCAGCTCCCTGATTGTTTCTAATTCTGCTATTAATTGTAAGGAACAGTATGATTGAGGATAAATTTGGTGCGTTGCTGCTGGGGATGCAGCTTCTTCAGCTCCGTATCGGAAGCCTATTGAGACCATCATGCTTAGGTTCCTAAGTGTGGCAACCCCCGTCACCTCGCCTGGCAGAGCGGCACCGGGAGGGAGCGATGCCACCGCAGCAGGGACACAGGTCCCGGGCAGGAGCCGGGAGGGCCGGAGAGCCGTTCCCAAGCCTAATTCCCTTGCAGACCACGGGCCTCGCTGTCTGAGGACAGTGCCGCTGAGCAGCGCGCAGAGCCGCCGACGGGGCTGGCGTGTCAGGCTGCCCCACTGATGGGGTCGGCGTGTCGGGCCGCCCCGTGCGATGCGGCTGCGCTTGCCCCAGCCATGTAGCCGACAGTGCTGTCTCTGTGCGGCCGTCCCAGTGGTGCGGTGTCGGGGCCGCCCCTGCGTAAGGAGTCTCCCGGCCCGGAGCCAGACAGGGTGTTGGAGCTGCCCCGTGTGATGGGACTGAACGTGGAGGCTGTCCTGTCCATGCAGTGTTGAGCCCAGTGCAGAAATGGCACTGTCTCGAGGACACTTGGTTGCCTTTAGAAAGAGCAGACTGTCATTGTCTTTGTGTGCATTACTTTCTTTATCTTTGTTTCTAGCTAATGGCACGGCTGATTCTCTCAGCTCCAGCCCGAACATTTCCAGTGCTGCCAGCCCGAAGCTGGAACCACCTCCATCACCGCATGCAAACAGGAAGAAACATCGCAGGAAAAAGAGCACAGGGACAACTCGGCCTGATGGCCCCAGCACGGCAGCAGAAGGTAGGAAAGGTCTGCTCCTTGGTGGGCAGCTCTACCAGACCCAGAGCACTGGGACCCCAGGAGTCCTCCTAGGGTGGCATCTCAGGGACCCTGAGATCTCATTTTCAAAGCTGGCTTATGCTTAGAAACAAACAACCAGCCCATCTTGATTTGCCCTTGATTTCTCACCTGCAGTGGAAGCAGGACTGCCATCATACCTGTGACTGCATCTACTATTAGTGGCGATAATTAATAACTGTATTAGCAGAGCTGACAGCATACCGTATAGTTAAGGTTGCCAAACACTTTCTGCCATAAGAACCTATTTTTGTTTGCTTGTAAATTTACTGAACTTTCATCATTTACAATTCTTATATTGGGCATCTGCTTCAAGCTGAGGGTTTTCGGAAAAGTGCAGCCAAGCCAGTTGAAGAAATATGCATTGTTTTGCCTTTGCTAAATGTCCTCGTGGTTTTTCTGTTGGGAAATGCTGATGCTTCTGAGATTTTTGAAGATGAACCTGAAGCTTGGCAGGGAGCTTGCAAAGCACAGGGAGGCACATTTTGCAGTCCCTGTGAAAATGCATCCAAATGTGTCCAGGCAGAGATTAGCTTGGCAACCACATCCTCCAAAGCCTGCATCTATGGTCGTCCTCTGTAGAAAAAGGGATCCTCAATCTATAAGAATCTGACTTTACCCTAGGTCATCCTGCCCCATAGCACATGATAAACTTTTGTAGTAAACCAAAATAAAGTTGTAGTTCAGATGGCTAAAGGCAAGGAAAGAAGGTGACGTACAAGTGTTTGAAACAAAAGGTTACTGTAAAACAAAACAGAAAGTGCAATCTGGCTGCACACTGTAGCTGCCCTGGCATCTTGCTGCAAATCACAGGTCAGCCTGTAGACCGGTGGCCCAGATTTTCCATGGTACAGCAATTGTCTTCAGTTCTCTCTTTTACAATCATCGTGGTGATGATCTGCATTGAAGTTTGACAACTCTGTTGTTCAGTCTTTCCTGTTGTAGGTGATCTTCACCTGAAAACCACTGATTCTAGGAGCGACTTCCCCTTTGCAGTGGTTGATTCAAATATCTTGAGCATCTTAGGCTTGAGTCTATAATATGCACTGGATGCCTCATAAAAAGCAAAAAGTATTATTTGTACTTACATCTTGTTAAACTGATATGTTCTTAGCTATGATAAAGGCAGTATGTTGACTCTGTGGACACATTACTACCCTTCCCACATCTGTTCTCAGCTTGCAGTTCCTGGGTCACGATAGATATGAATGAGTTCTCGGTCCTGTGCTTTGACAAAGAGAGCCGTGTTCTTTACATATCTGAAAAGAGGAACACTCAAGAGTAGAATGACTTTACACTTGCACGTCAGACTAAGAAAGTGTGTAGTTAAATACTGTGTCCCATCATGTAACTAACAGAGAGCTTGGAAATACTGGAGAGAGTTCAAAAGAAGGTCCCAAAATTGATTCAGGGCTGACGAACACATTTATGAGGTGGACTTTAAGGTATTCAACTTACTAGAATGAAGATGGAGAAGTGAAAGATTGGTGTTATCAGTACTTACAGAAAAAGAAACCTGGTCCTGCAGGACCATTCAGCATAGCTGATAAGGACCTAAGAAGGTGCAGAGGCTGGAATCTGAAGCTGCACAAAGTTGAATACAACTTCTTAGTGGAGAAGGTAATTAAAAATGGAAACACTTTTATGAGGCAAGGGAGTGGACTAACCACTGCTCAAAGTCTTTAAATTAAATGAGTTACTTTTCTGCAAGGCATGTTTGATCCAGCCTCTGGCAGAATTCCCTGGCCTCTGCCTGCAGGTGTCAGACCAGCTTATTGTAGCCTTCCTTCTTGGCTGCCTGGTCCTGAATCTTTGAGCCATCCCATTTTCTCTCATCTCATAGGGAATTTTTTCAAACACATGCTCGTTCTTTCTGCTCTTCCCTGTTTGGCGGTATCCTTGGGAGGCGGAGCAACTGAGGCTGCACATGGTGTCCATACGGTGCTACCTGATGCGTATGAGAGCGTCAGAATATTTTCTGTTATTCCCTGCCCCTGTCCTTGCCCACAGTGTTTTGCTGAGCAGAAGTCTTGTGCTGTCTGCAGTGATAGCCAGGCCCTTTCTTGGGTTGATATAGTTAATTTAGAACCCTGTCAGGTGCTGGAGTAATGTAATTTTTTCCTACAATGTGCATTACTTCACATTTATCAACATGGAACTTCATTTGCCAGTGAAGTGTCAGTTACCAAACTTCATTTGTCACTGCCCAGAACTTACAAACAGTTGCTCCTCCTGGCTGCCAGAAGCCTCTAGCACCAGAACTGAGAGCAGGAAGAATGCCTTCCGCAGTTACCTTCAGTACCGCTACTGCTGGGAAACGTGGCAGTCGGTTGCTTAACCTGCTCCAGCGCAGGGCTGGGAAGAGACCCGTAAGGATACGGCTGTGAGGGGTTACCAGGACAAGGCAGAGACAGGAGGGGCACCGTAGAGCGCATAGGGCAGATTTGGTCTGTCATCACATGAGCAATCCTCCCTCTGTGTCTCCAGCTTGAATTCAGTCTTTCCAAGTCCTTATGTCCTTCTGCAGTCAGCAAATAGGTGCAGTATTCCCTGGCTAAATGCTATAGTTGGCAAGCAGAGATGGTAAGAGCCTTCTGCTCCCAGGTACGTGCTGGGTCAGAATGGTCCCATGCAGTGTCTTCCACATGCGGTATTGTAAGGTGGATTTTCAGGCTTTTCAGTTGGCTTTTTAAAAACTTACTCTTATATTTATTTTTAGTATAATCTGCTGTATTAGAAAACTGAGCAGATTGCAAAGTCAGGCTTGCAAAGGCTAGGTCAACGCTGTCAGCCTCACAGGCCTCCCTGCATCATCACGTCCTGGGGAGGCCAGGCTGTGCATGGTAGAGGCCCGGAGCAGCTGTGGTAGCCCTCGTGCAAGCTGCACCTTCCTCTGTGTGCTAGAGGCTGTTTGTGGAAGTTAGGCACGGCGTCTGTGGGGAAACAGCACGTAGAGCTTCAGATTTCGGTTCTACTGCAGCCAATCTGATGTTTCAGTATCAAACAGCTGCATATCGCATTTGTGGGGTTAGAGGGACATCTCTGGGGAATCACAGAACCACAGAAGGGTTGAGGTTGGAAGAGGCCTCTGGAGATCATCTATTCCAACCCCCCTGCTCAAGCAGGGTCACCTAGAGCGTGTTGCCCAGGACTGTGTCTAGATGGCTTTTGAATATCTCCAAGGATGGAGATCCTTGGAGGATCTCCCTTTCAGGAGGGTGATCCCTGGCCCGCCATACATTTGATGAGCACTGAGTCTCTCCCAGCCTGCAATACCTTTGCGGAGCTTTTTCTGCAAGTTGGGCCGCTGTTTTGTCTCCAGGAGTCATCCGGGAGTTGTCTGTTTCCTAGAAAGTCAGGGCCAGCCATAGACTGGCGTTACACCCAGGTCATGATCCCACCTGACAGCCGGCGATAGCACTAAAACCTGACGGTGGGCAGATGGGAGATAATGAGCCTCTGTGTGAGGCCCCATCCTGACACCTTAACGGTCAGCAATTGGTTCCAGCTGTGGATCGGGGGCATTGCCCCACATTATGATCACGACTGATGACTGAATATTGCTTATGTCTATGAGTAAGTCTGATCCTTCCTTGAATCGTCTTCTGCCGCCTTTGAGCAGCTGCTAGCGGATAGTTTCTCCACTGCAGCACGGTCTGGGCTTTGTGCTTTTACGTAGTCAACCCAGCGAAAGTGTGGAAGTCACTGTGCAGCGAGCGGGGCCGCCCCGCTCTGCGGTCGAGCTGAGGTCCCGCGCGGTGCTCAGCCTGCTGCCG